GAGCCGAATAAATTAATTCGACGTTTATAACGAGCGATTTATAACGGCCGGATATTTATTGGGAAGGGGGATCATCGAATGGAACCGCGCGTCGAATCGTCGAAAGCGTTATTTATCAGTGAAATTATTCCTGAACAACGTCAACAACCACCACATCTTAGGGCGTGGACCCTAAGAATTGAAGCGGGGTTGAATGCAAGAAAATGAACCTTGAAATATATAGCGTTTGACGTAATAGATATTCGAGGAGGTGGCGCGTTTAAAACTTGGTAAAAGTAAGGAATGAAGGATCACTTTGGAAACGGGCGTGCCTAGGAAACTGGTTTTCCGATCTGATTGAGAGTAATGTTGCGTCCGCCGAGTTCCGTTTTATGAATGAAAGTCCAAGCTTGTCTACCGTTAGTAACTGTCTCTCCGCGTTTCGAAAAATCGGAAACGAGTCAGAAACGACGCGTTTCCGCGTCGAAGAGGAACGAAGGTTTCGATTTATTATTCGTGGCAACGAATTTCCAACAACACTCTTCCCTTCGCGAGAAGGGAAGAGAATACGGAAGATACGCACACAATTAAGAAGAAGAAGAAAAAGAAAAAGAAGAAGAAGGAGTAATCATGTACGTATTAAATGGATATATCAAAGTGTGTGCACAAGTGCACACGTGTACACACGTGCGGACAGATAATGTTGGAAACCGCTTTTCTTCAACGCAATTATGATCAAATTGTTCTGCCTCGTATAAGATACACGGTTGGCAGCTTGACAAACGCGTACGAACGTGTATGCATATAATAAAAGGGTCAGTGACATTCGGTATAGATATCATTGGTCGTAAACTTTTCGTTTCGAGCTTTGTACGACACACGCGCATTCCTTGCCAGCTGGTAACATTCGAATAAAAATACGCGGGTTTTATGCACGCCATCGTGGTACCTGGAAACAACGTTTAGAAGAACTCTCACTTCCAACAACCCGGTTTTGTAGGACAAATATAATTGATCGAGTTGTGTAACGGGTACGAGGCACGAAATAACTCTCAGGCGCGGACATTTGTTACGATAAGATGGCATTTCCCTTCGCTTCGGCTACGGCCACCATTTCAAGCCCGCTGTTTACAGTTATGCACAATGTGGTATCAATGTGAATAATTTCATTCCCACTCTATGCGATAAATCATCGAGATCAAACGGTGGAAATCTTGATCTTGAGAGGAGTAGGGAGTATAGTGTATGTCCAAGGGGAGGGTAATAAAAATTTTAGAGAAGAATATTCTATAAAAAAAAAAAAAAAATATCGTGCTCGTTTGAACGTTGAACGTTTGAAAGTAGTAAGAATCTCTGAAACAAAAATGGCCGCGCGTTCTATCTTTCTATGGTTCAATAACGCACGTGACATTGTTGATTGCACGATATTTATTAATTAATCGTTAAATTATCGGTCTTATTTGTATGCAGCGCATGACACACGATATCTATATTTGTACCAATGCTCGTTCAATTGAGTTAAACATGAATGGTTTAATCAGCTGCAATTTGTTTAATTAGTTAGAGTAGTAGTATAATTTGTCTCTAGCGCAACTACAAATTGGCTGTCCCACCTCGCTGAAGTTGAATTTAATAATACGATACGGTTGAATACGAGTACAAAAAAATCAAGATCTTGAAAGAAATCTTGGAGGGAAAAAAAAAATATATATATATATATATATAAAACGAAATACGCTATATAATTTCTTAAAACGTAGCCACGAATAACGGTACAATCAATGTCTACTTAAAGTTTTATCGCCTAAGACAAACCGACAAGACAATTTTAATCAGGTAGTAATTTCAATACCCCGATAAAATTGAGCAGAAAACTGTGTCAAACGGTATGTCAGATACGTGTTAACAAGCACGATAAACGAAGAAACAGTGTGCAAGTCCTTTATTATCGTCGTGGCAAAGTGCACGGAATGAGATAGCGAGGCCTAGCTATAATGATGTATTTGCTACCAGTATTTTCCAGATTTCAACGTTCAACGTTTTCCGTGTCTCGAAACAAAGAACGTCTCTCTCTCTCTCTCTCTCTCTCGTTTCTTTTTTCGTTTTATTCCCGTTCCAACGTCCATTGTCTTCGAGGAAAAAAAAAAAAAAAACACACAAACAATGAATGAATTGCACCCGAACGATTCTCGCCATAAAAAAATTACACGCTTGCTCTATGTCTAACTCGACGATAGCTCGCCGGCCAGTAGCAATTCCTTACTTTTACATTTACAACGCGTTAGCATAAACCTACTAATAAGCGAGCTTCGAAGCACACTAACAAACTGAACGCGAATCTTTCACTTGGATTTCGTAGACAGGATATACACTATTCACGCGTGTGCATAACGCATTGGATAAAAATTTCCGCGTTTAAGAAAACGCGGTTGAGAAAAAAGAAAAATAAAGAAAATGAAAATAAATTATTGCACGTGCGTTACACGCGCGCACCATCCCTCCCCAACTTGAAATTAAAATCAAAGGTGAAATAATCGCGATTTAAAATATATATATATATATATATATATATATATACATACATACTTATACAATCGGTGATTATCATTGTCTCCCCCTTTGAATTAAAATTCCTTACCAGATCCAATAATATTCACTCGCATAATTGTACAATTGTAAAAAAAAAAAAAAAAAAAAAAAAAATTATACAATTTCAACGCAGCTGATCCTATCCAATCGTATCTCATATTCACCAGATAAGAAGAATATTATACGAGAATTAATCGACCTCCCCCTCGTTTACACACGCTGTGTGTAAACCTTGTGTGTAAAACAATGAAGTCATTATTCATCGTGTTACTTTACGTTTAGTTGTTACAATTGACTTTCACAAGGAAGAAACTGCCTCCTAACACAAGGAGGGCTCCAACGAAAAACATTGGCGCTTGCAAGTTCGTTGTAATACGATGCGAGTCGGCACCTAGGTTAAAAAAAAAAAAAAAAAAAAAGGATGAGAGAAAGAAAGGAGAGCGAAGAAGAGGTGGAGAAAAATTGGCAGGGGTTTATTTGGCGCGGGTTTAACGCGCGTAATTCATAAAGCTGGATAATTAGTTAACTAATTAATAGCGGGCGCACCAAGGAATAATGGACTCCTTCCCACGGAAAGATTGCGATCAAAAAAAAAAAAAATCTCCTTCGCGAGATGATCATGGTCGTTAAATCTGGAATCGGTTGTGCGTAAGTGAACCCGGTTCCGTGGAATGTTTTGTTTAGAGGGAAATTGAGGTGGGAATCGTGCGTGATTATGCATTGTACGCGTATTTAGCCCCGCGGCTCATTAACATTAATAAATGCCCGCGTGCAATGCAACGGGGATGTAACGATACACTTTCGTGCGCGTTCTTTCTTTCTCTCTTTTTTTTTTTTTTTTCGTTAAGGACGGCCTTTAAAGAAAGAGGAAGAGGGAGAGAGAGAGAGAGAGAGAGGGGGGGGGGGGAAAGAGAGAGCGACGAGAAAAGAGGGGAAACAGTTAACCAGAGCTCTTTACACATTGTTTTCCTCGATCGTTCGTTCGTTATCCCCTTCTGTTACGGCTTTGAGTACAATGCGCATACCGTGGCTTTCAATGCTTTACGTTCGATACTGTTAAGAGATTTTTTTTTATAAAAAAAAAAAAAAAGAAAAAAAAACGTAATTTATGTGCACCTTAATTGATACGAATTCGAAGTAATTGCACTCGTTATTACGTCGTACATGTTAGATCGGTTCTTCGCGATATATTTGTAGCGGTATTTTCTTTTTTTTTCTTTTCTTTTTTTCATTTGTCGATGATTTGTAAGCAATAATGTATTGTTTCGTTGGAACGCGATGGCAAACTTTTTTTTTCTTCGAGAAGTAAGAAGAAAATTGAGGTGAAACGTAAATTAAAAAACGCCACTGGCATGCTACTGTTAACGAGCAGAAGGTAATCAAGAAATTAAAATTTATTCGCAACTTGGTATTTATTAAAAGTTATTTATTGCATATATATTTTCGAATAATTTTTTGATAATTTCTCTCCAATATATATATATATATATATATACGATCCGTTGTAATTGAATCTTGAATTAAATTTTTAATCATAATTTTTCGATTGATATTCGACACATTGTAAAATACGACCGTTGCATGGTTATTTCTGTAATTATTTTATTTTCAACGTCTACCTATTAATTTTTTACTTTAACCGGCTATTAACACATCAAACGATCCCGACCCGTAGTTCCTTTCTTCATTTACATCTTAAATATCGTATTTTGCAACACTTTTCCTAATATTTTTCCACGGTGAAATCCTTTCCCGATTTTACCTATATAATTCTCTTCGACCCATTCGATATGGCTTAAATCAATCCCGATCGAATGTAACAAGATAAATTACGCATAGCCAAGGAACGAGAAATTTGCATAAAGCACTCGTTTCTTAAAACGCCATATTGCGTAGCATAAATACGTAAACGCGTGCATACGTAGTCTTGCAATCGCGTTATTTTTTTTTTTTTTTCTTTTTTTTCGTTCCTTTGCTCGTTATAAACGAAACGTTAAAAAAGTATGCCAAGGCAAGACAAGTAAACAACCGTAATATCAAACCAACGATATCTCTCTTCTCGATACAAATTTTTCTCCCTCCATGTTCTAAATCCGAACAGTTAAAAGTTCCAACGAAAAGGAAAGGAAAAAAAAAAGTAAACACACAACATTCTCGCGAACGTCGTAGGTCGTAGAGAGAAGACCTCAAACACGACGTACGACTAATGTCGCTACGAGAACGCTTTAACCATTAGCTTTATACTTTAAAATCTTCGAAATAATCTTTCGAGATAAATCAATCTATGCCCTTCAATCACGCGATACGTAGTGAAGAAAAAGAAAGAAAGGAAAGATTACTACCCAGACGAATCGCATAATAAAGAAGAAGGATGGTAGGATACGGAGGTATCGAAGAAATGATAGAGTGGAACGAGAAATTTCTTCGCTTACCAATTTCATGTGGAGCTCCCCTTTAATCCGATAAATTGCATTCAACAGGAGGCGTAACTGGGTCTCCCTGCAGATCGATGAAACGAGGATTCCTACGAAAATCGCGCTTCGCGTGTCGAGAAATCGTCGCCTCGCTCCTCTCCAGAACAAGAAACAAAAGGCACGGTTTTACGATTTTACGATCCACCTTGGTAATAGATGTCACACACGTGGTTGGTTTCGCAGTTTCACGATTTCACAAACACTTAGCGCTGATCTCGCTTTCACTGGAAGATTCTTTTCGCGGAACTCGTATATTTATCGAGTCGAACTTAATAAACATCGCACTTATAAATCACGTATAAAACGAATCGACACGTGGTGATCCCCCTTCTTATCGTGGTTCGAACGTTCCGAGGGGAGGAAAGGGAAGCAAAGAAAAAAAAAAAAAAAAAAAAGAAAAGAAAAGAAAAGAAAAACGAAAGAAGAAAACGTCGTCACCCAACACGCGTTGATCTCGTTCGTTCTATTTCTCCGTTACGTAACACCAGAAATTCTCGCCGCGGACCAAGTTCCTTTCCTCAATGATACACGTGAACTTACACGATCCCTGCGCACTTCGTTCTTACATTGTACAATGGAGGGGAAAAAAATTCTCGCTCGAGCGGTTCACCTAATTTCTCCATGCCGGCGAGTGTCGATATTCGACCTTCGATGGACGACGGGTGCAACAGCCTTCCTCGATGACGTCCACCGGCTATGTCGCATTTGCACGTGGTGACGATAAAACGAGAAAACGGGCGTAGCGAATCGCGCCACCGTACGTTTCTAATCGACGATCGAATGTTCTCTCTCCTCGCGCGGGGAGGGGAGAAGGAGGGAGGGGGGGGGGGGGCACGAGTGAGGAGAGAACGCTGCGAACACGTGGCCGATCGTATTTACGCGGCGCGACCGACGAGAGCGGCAACAACGACTTTAGTACTCGAACGTCGGAAGCAGACTAAACGATACAGGGAGCAGAATCGATTCCCAATCCATCGCCGCCGCGGAAACACGCAGTGCCGCGATCCCAATCCAACGAATCCACGAGTACGGGATGAAAATCGGCTCGGCACGATCCTCCTTCGTTGCTGCGTGTCTCTCTGCCCTGCATCGAATTCGATATCGAACCGGTGTGGAACGTGAATACATTTCCTCCACGGTGCATCCCGTGCCTCTTTTTCTCTTCTTCCGTGTGCACCGCCAACCCAACCACCCCGTGATACGTACCTATCGTACGTGACTATCGGGACAAGGGGGTGGGGGGAAGAGGGAGAGAGGGAGGGAGAGCCTTGAGATAATTACGTATTACGCATTCGAAGGAGCAAGAAGCGAGCTAGGGGAGGCGAGCCGACCGCTAAGCGTTCGATTGACCGATCCGGAAAAATTCCTGGATCGGGCTGTGCGATCCGCTGCATCGAGGTGGAGGACCACCTGTATGGGTATGATGCACGCGAAACGGAGTGGGATAGAAGAGGGGGAGGGGGGGAGAGAAAGAGGGAGAAAGAGGGAGAGAGAAAGAGAGAGAAAGAGAAAGAGAAAGGGAAGGAAAGGAAAGAGGAGGAAGGGAAAGAGAGGGAGAGAGAGAGGACAGGGCGAAACGCGTGCGGATATTAGAGATCGGTCGAAGGACCACGAAGGAATTAGGTCGAAACGGGGCGTGAGAAATCACGTAATAGATCCGCGCACGACTATCGATACCAGGTGACGTGTGATTAGAATAAGGTCTTATCAGCGTGAGCGTGCACGAGGTACTGAACCACGGCACGAGGTATCCACTGCCGGCCCCTCTTTGCCGTGCAAGAAGAGTGGAGGGACAGACAGGTGCTCCAGCTTCTGTCTGTCTGCCTGTCTACCCGCCTGTCCGCCCGCCTGACGCGTTTGCTCCAACCCGTTTAGGCTTTGTTCACACTCCCCGAGTATTACCGCGATATCGAACACGCGTTTCAACGATCTGTTTGAATATTGAATCGGTGTTCGAATCAGTGTTCGGCCGAGATACGATTCTCCAAAGATTCGAAGATAATTATTTAACTCGAGTTGAGAACTTGTCCGAATCGTGGTTAAAAGTCCAAAGTTCGTAGTTCCGAGTTGTCCTCGTTTCAATTTTCCATGTATGGATGGATGGATGGATTAAATGTTAAGGTCGAGAGAATTTGGACAGGGGAAATGTCGATGAGTTCGAAATGATGAGAAAGGGAGAACGAGTTTATCGAGATCGTTATTTAAGCTCTGTTCATACGTTTGAGAAATTTTTTTTTAGATTTTCAACACGTATGATGTTAAGATACACGTTTCAAGGATATTTTTTCAAAGATACATTGAATCGTTGAACACCGAAGCGATCTGTCGGTCGATTCGTCTGATTTTAATTAATTTAAATTTGATTTGATTCGATTAATTGTTTTAAAGGAATACTTGAAACTTATAGGAAATGGCACTAACATTCTCGAAACATTTCATTTCGATTCGATGAAATCAATAGTTTATTTATCAATACTGTCGATAGATTGTATCTTATCATTCAGATATTTCACTTTGTATCGTCTAATTAATAAAAACTTATTATCTAAATTCTTTGTTTTAATTTGTCAATCAATTCTTTGATAAATTAAATCGGAACAATATAGAAACTGAACAAAATAGAAAATTATTATATCTTTTAGTGTCACAATTTTTCTCATGTTAAATATTTGATTGAACACTTATTTTATTATTATTAAATGGCAGATGCATCAAGGAATTTGAAAAATTTCAATAGTGAATTTAATATAATTTAATATAAATGTGTTGAGATAACCGATTGAAATTTAAACACTATTTTTAATAAAACATGTCAATAAAAACCGATTAAATATTTGATACTTCCTGATAGAAAGTTACTTCTAACACGAACAAAGTCTTATTTTCATATTTCATGTGAACTGTGAAATTAATGCTGACAGATAAAGCTTTATTTTATATATAATAGATGTTGTTTTAATATTTCTATCACATCTATCTATCTATATGTATCTTTAATATATATATTATATACACTTCATTTTAAAAATTGAAAAAATTATTGAATTATTTAAAAAATTTCAAATCTATTAGATACAAATAAATCTATAAAACATAGTCTGAGGAAAATATTTAAATAAATTTAAATTTGTTGCCAATGTTTTTTTTAAATTATAATTGAATATAAAATAAAATAATACATGTTATACGAATCTCGATATAAAATATTTGCAATAAATTAAAATAATAATTTTTATTTTAATTTTTATTTATTTTTATTATATTTGAATAAAAATTACAATTTTTTAAATTTTATTTATAAACTTTTTATTTATTCTCGTTAATTGTAAATAGTGATTTCCTGCATATATAATTTTAAATGTAACGTTACATAATTTTAAATACTAAGACAATTATCATATGCATTTTCATTATCTAATGTATTTTATGAAATTCGTTCAGAAATTTCTCGCTAGAGGGCATATTCCATCAAGTTCAACAATTTTCTAATATTTCTAATGCAATGTTAAAAAATATATATATATTTTTGAAATATATGTACATAATTACTAAACAAAATGTTAATAAATATTATAAATATTTATAAATATTTTATAGTTTTTAAATTTATAAAAAACTAAAATTTTCATCTTATAAAAACATTTATTTTACTTCCAATTATAAAAAATTAGTTGTATATACAATTCATATAATTATATAATTAAAGTTTAAATATATATATGATATAATAATTTTTTTTTATTTTAAGTTGAAATGTATATATAAATTTCTCTTATTTCTAGGGAAAATTAAGGCAATATTCCATGATTCAAATTATTTATAATTTAAATAAATAAAATAAATGGATTTAATATGAATAATTAAAAATATTCTTTATAAGATGTATTATATATGAATTAAATATTAATAAATTAATAATAAAACTTAAATTTTTTAAAAAAATATTTATTGTGATGTCGCTACGCGCAATCGTACGTTAATCATGTATTTTAAATGTCGTTTAAGATGTGATTTTTATCAAATTTTATAATAAAATCGATATTATGTTGTGAAAGAAAAATTTGGATTATTTTCCTACTATTTTTTATTCAATAAATCAATTATTTTTTATTAAATATTTGGTTTAATTTAAGAAATGAAGCATTTGCTATATTTACACTACAAGTGATAATTTTGTACATAAATAAAAATTTATATTTATATAATTATTTATTAAATAATGAATTGAATAAAACAAAAACTATAATATATAATTGCTTTATTTGTAAATGTAATATTAATAACGTTGATTAATTATATTATATTAAAACAAGATAAAATAATATATATAAGATATAAAATAATATATTAAATTTTGAAAATTATGAATGAAAATTGTATAAAAATTATAAAAAAAATTCCACTTATAAAGATTGAAATTGTATGAACTTTGTTATAGAATTTTTTAAATACATTATTCAAGTAATATAAAAATAACAAAATGCAATCTTTCAATAAAATACCATCTTTTGGGGATGATACTTTATCTGCCTGTATTCAAGTTGAAAATAAAAATATGAATATTATTGATAATCATAATAATGTAGATAAATATTTTAAACATAATATATATTTTTCTATGGTTGCAAATGATGTTGATAAAGTTACTCAATTAAAAGAAGGATTATGTAATTTTACTAATAAAAAACCTAATTTAAATCCAAGTAATTCAAAATGTAAAGAAACAAATAAATCCAAAACAAAAAGAATTATGTCATTTAAAAAGAATGATAATTTATTTAAAATTGACAAAGAAAATGTTAATATGAATGATAATTATACAAGAGACAATATTTCTTCAAATACAAATACATTATCAAATAATAAATCTGAATTGTTAACTTTACATATAAATAATTTAAACAAAAATAATGTTGCATATATGACAACAAATGATATGACTAATGTAAATTTATCTAACAGCAATAGTTCTATAAATAATACGGAAAAAACATCAGAAATTAATCCTTCCATCTCTATTATTCCTACTCAAGATCGATGCAAATTATCTTCTTGGGGATTACCATTAAATATTCTTCAGGTAAAATAAACAATTAAACAATTTATGATCTTATTTATAATAAATTTATATAAATGTCAAAATTAACTATTTTCTTTTGATTTAAATTACTTATTACATCAATAATTATTTATTACAGAAATATGAAGCAAGAGGAGTAACTACTATGTTTGCTTGGCAAGTAGAATGTTTATCAAATCAGAAAGTCATTGAAAAAAATTGTAATCTTGTATATTCTGCACCAACATCAGCTGGAAAGACATTAATAGCTGAAATTCTCATGATAAAAACAGTGTTAGAAAGACAAAAAAAAGTAATTTTTATCTTGCCATTTGTCTCTGTTGTTAGGGAAAAAATGTATTATTTTCAAGTAAGATTTAATTATATAAGTATATAATATAAAGATATAATATATAGTAATTTTGCAACTATAATTTTTTAGGATTTATTATCTGATAGTGGTGTTCGAGTAGAAGGATTTATGGGTGGTATTGCACCTTCAGGAGGATTTGCAACAACTCATATTGCAATAGCAACTATTGAAAAAGCAAACTCATTAATAAATCATTTAATGGAAGAAAATGAATTAATTAATTTAGGTGCTGTAATTGTAGATGAATTACATCTTGTTGGTGATCCAAATCGTGGATATCTTCTTGAATTACTTTTAACTAAATTGAGATATATGACTTCTAGGTAACAAAATTTATTTTCACTTGATATAAAAAAATATAATAGGTTGTTAAATAAATTAAAAATAAATTCAAAAAAATTTTCCTTCAGGAATGAAAATATTAATATACAATTAATTGGTATGTCTGCTACACTTCCAAATTTATCTCTTTTAGCTAAATGGTTGGATGCAGAGTTGTATAAGACAGAATTCAGACCAATACCTTTAAATGAACAATGCAAAGTATTTTATAATTTATATTTTAAAGATGTAATATATATATTTGTAATTTAAAACTAATACAAGTTTTCATATGTTTTCAGATAGGCAGAAATATATATGATAATAAATTATGTCTTATAAGAAGCTTAACACCAATGCCAGAATTAACTATGGATTCTGATGATATTCTTCATCTATGTATTGAAACAATATCTGATGGACATAGTGTATTAATTTTTTGTTCTACAAAAAATTGGTGTGAAAAACTAGCTGAACAAATTGCTATTGCATTTTGTAAATTGGGTTTGTTTAATGATTTATATTTTCTGATTTTTGAATTTTCTTTATATTTATATGTATATATTAAATAAGTTTTTTTTTAGGTAGAGAAAATACACAATTAGGTAAAATTTTAAGAGATCAATTAGATTCTGAATTAATTTCTGAAACATTGGAACAATTAAAACGTAGTCCTACTGGTTTAGATAATGTATTAAAAAATACAGTATCATTTGGAATAGCTTTTC